TGTCAATTTGTTTTAACATTGAACCTCGTCTCTGTACTGAGTATAACAAACCTAACTGCCTTCGTGGTGATTAGTGTTACTGATTATTCTCTGGGTGAAATTCCCAGAGTGGCGTTGTCTTTTAAAACGGTGAAGAGTATTTACTTTATTCTCACCTCGTGCTGCCACACTCACATTGCAAAGCCATGACATAACATCAATCCTGGACCAACGTTATTATAATAATGGCAGAACCAAACCAACACAGGGATCTCAGATCAGTAACCACCATCCTGTAATAACTGAGATCGAACTGGGTGTAGAGGAGTATGATACAGGGGGTGCGCAGAAGTGGTGTTTCATTTCTGCTCAGGCCTTTTAGTGGCCAGGAAATGCAACATAGTTGATATGAATGTTTATGATGTGTATAATCCTGTTCTACAAGCAGCAAGCTGACTATAAAGAAGGAAGTGAGAGCAAAAAGAAGATTGTACCAAGGTGGACAAAGGAATGTGATAAAGTAATTAAAAGCAATTAAAAGCTGAAATAACTTTTAAAAAAAAATAAAAATAAATCTTACTCAAAATAAAAGGTCACAAGAAGAATTATTAAAAATGCAAAGCGAGACAAACACGGTAAGGAAAAAGACAAATTCTTGAAGTCTGATCAGTGGTTAAAAGGATGAATTCCATTAAAAGAGAGTATGGTATCCAGTATTAAATGTCAGGGTAGCTACATGATAAATGGACTGGTTTTGCTTTTCTACTCAATCTGAGCACTTAAAGTGCTTTACACAACTTTCCTCACTTTTTGTCCTATCTAACATTCACACACATCGGAGAGCAGCTTGGGATTAGTATCTTGGATATCTTAGGATACTTGGCATACAGACTGGAGTAGCCAGGGATCAAACCACCAACCTTCTGATTAGGAGATGCCCTAAGAGAATGATGAGAATGATGAAGCTATGACAGCTATCTGGATCTATGTTACGGTTCCATAAAAGGTGCGTACACATCTGTGGCTGGCCCCGCCCTTGGATCCTCGGATCACAACATGGTGCATCTCCTGCCAGTTTATAAGACTGTGCTGAGAAGAGAGAAGGTGAGGAAACACCACATAAAGGTTTGGAGTGACGACGCCTCTTTAGCCCTGCAGGGCTGCTTTGACTGTACAGACTGGTCGGTGTTTACAGAATCGTGTAGAGACATTAATGAACTCACTGACGTTGTCTGCAGCTATATCTCCTTTTGCAGAGACATGATAACATCAACATAGATCCAGAGCCTTAAGAAGCGTGTGGGACAATTCACATACTGATATAAACTGCTCAGTGTTTTCTTCACGTCGCAGTGACTAAAACCGAAGTGAGCAAAGCAGAAATCTTCTGTTCACCCCTGTCCTCAGGGATGCGGTTTCTCTTTGCACAACAGCCAGCATGATGCCTGCCCTGTCTGGGGATCGTCCGCGCTAGGAGATTGTAGACGGTGCCTGAAGCCTGGTTGATGTCCCCGCAGTTAGCTGGGCTTACCATATGGAATGTGTTGAGGGGTCATGCAGGAGCATGGTTCCCAGCACGCTTCCCAGGAAGACGATGACGTGCTGGACATCAGCCTGGACATCTATGATTTGTCACCATGCTCCAGACGTACCAGGCAATGTGCCTGGCGGAGCTCGGGTCGCTGGTTCCTGATGACAGCCCGCTGGCACCTGTTGTTAATGTGGTCAGTCCCGCTGTGCAGCGCTCTCCCTGGGAAGAAGGATGGCTTTGACAGTAGTGGCATAGGGGCACCTATGGCTGACCCTCTCTGATGTCCCGGAGAGGGACAGGGCTGTATATATGGATGAACCAGTGTCTACAGCTGGGTTATTCAGACATTAGGTTTGATCTGAGGAAGAAGCAGACAGAAGCTCTGTGCAACATCATTCCCAGACATCAGGCGAAGCCCAAGCCCACAGCTAGCTCTCACAGACCCACCACTCCTCTGCCGACTGGCAAGAGACCGGCACCCACTGTAGCAGTGGGTGTGCCGCCAGCGGAAGCACATCCTCCAGTCTGATCTACATGCCAGTCAGCCTGAAGCAAAGGGCACCGGCGGGACCCGACGCCAAGGAGGAAGAAGCCTCAGCCCTCCCAGTTCTGTTTCTAAGTGAAGAAAGAGTCCAGTGGCAGGGAGAAGCTGCTTTTACCCCTCTGTCGCCGTCCAAGTTCTGTTCAGGTTGTCAGCCCCAAGCACAAACCCCATGCCTACAAAATGCCTAAGGCTGTAACTCTGGAAGGTTGCCTGCACCAAAACATATGTATGTGCATATTCCCATGTTACAATCAATAAAGAGTGTTTACTGTCAAATAATCACAAATACTCAGCATGCAGGAAAAATGAGCCAGGTCAGGCAGGTGATGCATTCCCCTGCAGACACACTCGGGGACGACATGCCCCACCGACGGTGCTGCACGCCCGCTGGCTGGCTGCTCACTTCCCTCAGTGACACACTTGCGCCCTCTCCGTGGGTGCTGCAAACTGTTGCTATGGGTTACCAGTTGCAGTTCCAGGTCAAGCCGCCTCCTTTCTGCAGAGTTGTAAACACTACCATTGGCATCGAAGCAGCAATGATACTGAGGGAAGAAATAAAGGCGCTATTGCAGAAAAGAGCAATACGAGTGGTCCCCGCATCAGAGACATAAAACGGTTGGTACAGCTGTTATTTTGTTGTTCCGAAAAAAGTTGGAGGACTTTGTCCCATCCTGCAAGCTGTGAGTCTTGAACAAGTATCTATGAATGTACAAGTTCAAGATGCTAATACTCAGACAGCTCTTGAATGCAGTCACCCGCGAGATTGGTTTGTAACAATCGATCTAACAGATGTCTGTGAAGGTCCTCAGTCATCCAGGTCATCGTAGTCAAAGGAGCTTGCAAAGAAAAGCGTCTGGACTTCTTTAAGTTACTTGAAGACGTTTCACCTTCATTTGAGAAGCTTCTTCAGTTCTAAGGTCAAATGGGTGGGAGTCCCAGATTTAAACCTAGTGGGAGTGTCCCCCCACAGAGGAACAAAAGGACCCCCTGATGATCCTCTAAT